GACGTCTCTCAATAGAGGGCGCCACTTGGTGAAATATCACTCAGCACATCACCGGTTCAGATTGATTTGATACAATCGTTTATAAATATAACTCTGACTGTGCGTTTGACCATCAGAAGCAGAATTGGCACAATACAAAACACCGGTGAAATACAAATAATATCTTTCCTAAAGACAATAACTTTATGCACCTATGTTTGTAAACATATTTTATAAATGCATGGTTGTGATAAGATTGACATTCTGTACTTGTACAGTTTTCCCAGATTTATGTTACTGACACTAGTGGCTTAAGGGGAATGGTCTGAGCATGTTCAGCGCTGACAATTTACCTCATCTCATTTCAGTAATTTTATGTATTTCAATTATTGTCCTCATCATGCAATACACCATTAAATCATGTTCAATACTCCATTTAATTAAAAAATGTTTTTTTCAGGTAATCTATGATGTTTTCTACATGTTATTCTTGTGTGATAAAGTAAAATATTTTGGAAACATTTCATGTTGTTTTCCTTCACTATATAAAGTAATCTTCATTAATTTAACTGGTGTCTCAGCAATCAACAATTATTTCAAAAAAAAAAAAAAAGAAAAACAGGGTGCAGGTTATTGCACTAGCCAAAGTCAGCGTCTTTTTTCTGTGATTTCTCAGGCCTACTTACCATGTATGGTCTAATGTTTCTTTCTTTCAGTATCAAATACAACCAAAAATATTGTGCTTATAGCTTGGCTAGAAATGATCGAGACTTTCAATTACAAGCAATTAAATTAGACTGCTTGTATGCATTACAGGTTAAACAGTGTTTTATGTTCCTAAATCCTAAAAACCTTTGACTGAGAGTGAAACTGAATGAAAAATGTACTGAGAGTGCTAATTACATGACTCAACAACTGCAAACAAAGAGAATGACCATAATAAGCACAGTGTGTATAATATCTAAGTGTCTACAAAACTTTTCTAGTTAATACCTATCAATACATAGAAAATACCAAGCAGATGAAATTAAAAATGATTATAAAAATAATTTTGCAAGATTATATTATATTTATGAAAAAAAAGTTAACAACTATGTTATACTACTTTTCATAAAATAAATTCCTCTTTATGTAATTAAGATATGGAATGAAACAAATACTACAATATAGTAAAAAACAACATTGCCTGGCTGATTGTGATAAGTAAATCCTAGATGCTGTGGTTGTGCTTAGTGCAGTTGAGCAATGGAAACTCCACTGAATATCACTTGGACGGAAAGCTTGTAAATTTTGAACACTTTCAAGTATCTGGTACTTTTCTAATATATAATATATTATGCATTTGTAAAAAATATGATAAATTTCACCTGAAAAATATCAAATAAATATTAACCAAACAGCTATCTGCTCTAATGGTCATGAATTTTAATAAAAGATATGATACACGTTCAATGACATGTTTTACAAACCGTTTTGATGTTGGTCCAATAATTATTTTCTAGTACGAGTTTAAACACTCCCATGTAAACAAACAGTACATATCATCTTTGTGGCAGCAGTGCTGAAGTAGGTGTAAACAGAATTACTCCATATTAAGCAGCAAGCACCTGTCAAAGCCTAACACCTCACTGGGAATATCAACCACTTCATATCTTAGGTTCATCTCAATGGCCAGTGAAAATATTTAGAATTGGAATCGTCTCTCTAAGCTCAGTTGTCCGTTTGTATCCTCCTTTATGGAAAAGACGTGTATACCTGCATTGAAGCTGGACACACATATACTAAAAAGGAAAAATTATGATAAGACAATTTTTTTTTTCAAAATGCAGCCTATTGAGCATACATTTAATCATAATGTCCTTCATAATACATGTCTTTGTGATATAATACATGTAGTTTTTGATGTGAAAAACAAGATTTTCTATTTAAAAAATAAATTAAAACTCATCACTGGAAAAGATGTGACACTGATACCAAAAGGAAATTATTCACTCACACATGCAGAGAGAGAGAGTGAGAGATAACTATCAAAATAATTAATTTTCACACTTTAAGAATTTGTTGAAATTCATGTCACCTACCTTCCGTCATGGTATGCCACCATAGAGGTCAGAGGACCAGACCCTGCTATTACTTCTTGTCCTACACATTCTGAAATTTTGTACACATTTTTAATGTCTAGAAGTACTTTATAATACATTTTACTTTAAAATGTAATCTTTAGTACAGATGGATGAACAGACAAATAAAATCCAAATGGTATTGTATATAATGCTTGCCTAGGCTATTTCAATGAAAACAAAAAAATACATAAAGGTTTTGGAAAAATCCAATTATCAATTAACATATTTTCATCATTTAAAATGTACATCCACCATAAAACAAGCAGGATTATGTTTAGTCATAATAATAATTTATAAATAAATAAATAAATAAAATGGGCTAATGGAAAAATGTCTTATAAATCTAAATCACAAGTTAAAATAAATTCCTGGAGGGAAAAAAAGTTGAAATTCTATCATATCTAAATTTAGTCTACAAAAGAAGGTAGAAGAACTCCCCTACCTGCCCTAGTACCCAGCACCTACCTGTGGTTTCCCTGTCCCATATCCTGACAGTACAGTCACTGGATACAGAGGCTATCAAACTCCTGTCTGCTACCCCAGGGAGAAACATACAGGCTCCCACTGTCTCAGTGTGACCTTTGTACTCACAAACCAGGCTCTTGGCTCTCATGTCCCAAAGCTGAAGGAAAATGTGGGTGATGTATTTTAAATAAGGGGGAATAGAGAAAGAGATGGGCCAATTGATTTATGATCAAAAGAAAACTATCTGATGTCCAAAAAAAAATTAATTGCAGTTTATATTTTAATTTCCAATGTTCCAATAAAGATTTTGATATCAGATATATTCCTCATGATTATATCAGCATGATAACATGGTGGTTTCAGTTGTCAAATAAGAAAACAAAATTTGATAATAATCAAGAGCATGTTCCATAAAAAACATTTTATTATATAAAATTCACTGGATAAAATTCTTTTCTAAATGAACTTACTTACATAAAATTCACATTTGCAATGCACATTCACAGTAGAACCTACGATTTCTGCAGATTTAGGATACCTTTCCAGAAAACCCAGTAATGCAGGGAAGAATTTGGGCACAATACTCACCGTTACTTCACACCCATTTCCAGAGAACCCATTACTACATGTGAGACAGTAGTTTCCATCTTCTGTAAGATCACAGCATGTTTGAATATACTGTTTACGCTGAAAACAGTGGACCACTTCCAGAGTTCTTGGATCCCAGATCCTGAATGAGAAATAGTGTTAGCTGAAGGTGAAAATTTTTTCGATTTGACAAAAACATAATAAGTCACTTGTATACTTCACAATATTTATCATTGTTTCTTTTCTCCTTATTCGTAAAGGAGGCTAAGGTAAAGTAGCCTGCTGCTTATAAAAAGTGAAGGATGACCCTCATCCCCCATCCCGCACACATACTCACAGACACTCACATACATAAACAGACAAAAAAAACATTAATGCACTGCAGAATCTCCCTAGATACAGTTTCATTTGACATAAAAGATTTTGCTGGACATAACTTTCAGTTTCCATTGGAGATTGTTAATAATTAATATAAGTATGCATGCACATTTTTTATTGTCCCACAAACCCTTAAAAGCTGATTAATTACAGATTTCTAATAAGATTCAACTTTGAATTCAATTATGTAGATTTACACACAGCACTCACTTAAGTTCCTTGTCTTCTCCAACCTGTGCCACAGCATCCATGTTCTTGGCCCAACTGATATCTGTCACCAGGTTCCGTGACACTTTACTTTCCTTGAGACAATCTCCAGTTTGTAAATCCCACAGTCTCAGCGCATTGTCTCTTGACCCTGAGATCATCTGACTGTTGTCTGGTTATAAAGATAATCCAAATGTACAACACTTGCTATATACACTACAGATACTGTAAACAATGTAGCTTATTGCTACAAACTATCTAATACAACAATCGGTTTGTGAGATTTCATGTCTTAAAATACCATAGATTTTACCAAGATTACTTGTACCTAGGTATAATATATAACATATTTATATTTTAGAATATATAATATGAAACAAATTCTGCTAAAGCTATATAGACAGAAAGAGAAATTTTAGCAGCGTATGACTAATTTCAAATATATTCTAATATATTCTAATAAACAGCATGCTGTTTTCTCCTATAATTTTTGTGTAGCAAGAGCTGGAAAAATCACAATTGCCAAAAAAACCCAAAATATACTCATGTTTAAAACAATTGGAATTCTGCAACAAGCATCAAAAAGAAATACCTATGACAACAATCTTACCCATGGGTTGTAGAGATAGAGCTGTGACTACCAATTCATGTCCCTGGAATGTGTGCTGTGGCTGGGACTGCCCAGGCTGCCATGATTTCACTGTCCTGTCTCTGGAGGCAGAGAACACCTTGTTCAAATGCTGGGCATAAGCAACCTACAGAGAATGTAAAATCATATAATGGTTAACTAAATCTGACATATCAAAGGGTATAAGGGGGCACAGAGCTAAAAAAAAAAAATAAGCAGCCATTTTTGCTTTCTGCTCCCTTTCTTCACATGGCTCAAGTATATGACACCATATCATATGATTCTCATGTTGTTTTACTCTCTGTATTACATGGGAAGATGGAGGAGGGGAGCTGAGTAAAAATTTCCCTTTTGAAAATTAGATGTAGGCAGCCTAATGGTAATAAAGAGTCTTGTTATCCAATAGAATGTCTTTAGACATTGCAGAAGGATGGAAAGGAGTTTGGGCCTCTCCTTTAAACAAAACAAATTAATAATTATGCATAACTGTCTCAATTGTATAATATCAAAACATTTCATGCCTTTCTTTCATGGTCTGAAATTCTGATTAACAACACATGTATATCATTTAAAGGGATTTATGCAAGAATAACTATTGGTTTTTATATTTTAATGTGAATAAAAAACTTCAAAGTATCTGATGCATTTTATGTCAGCATTTTGAGCAAGCATGCATTTCATTACAAAACCTCATTTCAGCCTCAGAAAAGGCAACATTTGGAGAGTCCAAGAGACCACATACTTACCCATATATATATACGGTGTACATACCTTAGTGACTTCTTTGTCATGCCCATTCCATCTGGATATCTCACTGCCATTATCATAATCATACCAAACCACAGACTAAATGAATAAATAGAGAGAAAATTTATCAATTATTTTGGCAATAAGATCATGGTTAAATCACGTGCCTATCCAATACTCAAGTAAGGTCAATATTCAATGGAAATGCATGAGTCAAATACAATCTGATTCCCGTGTGAATATTTATAGCCTCAAGAGCTTGTACTGTAAAACAGGGTGCTATGAGGTCTTACCGGGTACCTGTGGTAATTAAGTACACTGAAAACTGAGGCAAAGTTCCTGGGTGCACTGCAGATACATGCACACCTGTACTTTACCTGGTCTTTACTCCCTGTAATAACAGCTCCAGGGTGCACAGCAGCTAAACTTGTAACAGCCTCAGTGTGTATAGGAGAGTACTGGCGTAACCGACAGGTGCTATCTGTCTCCTCTGCCATGTTTCTCTCAGTGCCGCTAACTGCCTCATAAGCGCTTGAGAACACGACAAGAAACAGAATAAAGTTAAAATACTGCCATTTTGGTTTATCATGTATTTTCATACGGTCACGGTGCAAGTAATTTTAATTGCAATTAAAAGTAAAAAAATCAAACATGCTGCAGACAAAGAGGCACGACGTTTTATGCGTAAGTACTCCCATTTACGGTGTCTGATAAAAAACTTAATGCTAATGAACAAAGAAAAATTCATTTTGAAAGTTAGATACAGCACATTTATTTATTATACGAAATGCTTATTAAGAACCCTTCTATGCTTAAGTGAATAGTAAATTAGATATTCAGAATGTTAAATGTTTACCAGTTTCTCCTACTTCCTTTGCTTTTGCTCAATAATTTACCCATTTCTGTGAGGGTACTCGGTGAATTTCCACCGGCTTGGATTCCGGATGTTGATATGTTTGCGAGCATGCCCAGATTGCAGCTTCCTGTTTATGATTGTCACATGCACAGACCGACTTTACGTAAATATGAGTCAGGTTCTTAAGACAACGGTTCACAATACATGAGCATAACTTAGATTTTCTAAATACAGTTTACTTGGTAGTAGCACAAGCAGGGTAACAGGTAAGATATTATAATCTTGACTAGTGTAAGTACAGAATTGTCGTTTTGTATGTTAATTTGCACTTGCAGAACATTTAATTCTTCTTTTTGCTAAAAACTACTGAGTAGGCTTTTCGTCTTCAACATGTATGCAGAGCTGTGGTTAAATTAATGATTAATGAAATTATAGGCACGTGCCTGTATATTTGCATAGTTAAGAAGAACATTTATTAGATATTTCTTGTTAGATGTTATAAAGTTCTGCAGTCTGTATGTATGGCATTACAGCTGTAGCCTGTGTTTTTCAGTTGTGTGCTTTATATTTATTTTGTTTAACTTAGATGAAATCCTTAATTTCTTATTATCCACAACTATGATGACCTTGTTATAAATACCTGTGCAGTACATAAACAGTACATATACCTATATATGTATTGCTTTATTTGTACCTTATTTTTTTTTTCTCAAATTCACTTTTTTTTCTCCCTAATTTGCTCCATTATTTAAAAATTAAAATCATATACCCCTGTACTTATACACCTTCCACTGGTAGTAAAACATGTTTACACACTGAGACATTGAACTATCATCAGTTAAATTGCCTAGACATTATACACATCGTCACTGATGTTAAAGGTGAAGGACAAAAACCAAGAGAGATACCAGCTATTAGTGAAAATTTACATTGCGTCCATTAGAACCTCTAAAGTTGGATGTTGGAGAGAACGAAGGAGTGAAAATTTTTAAAAAGTCTAATTTTATTTAAATTGAATAGTTATGTTATGTGCCACAACCTCAATCATTTCATATAATTTTTAGGGCCTTCAGTGTCCACTGCGTAGATCAGTATGGCGGACAGTGCACTCAAGTTGCGGTCGGCAAGTTTGTACAGTCTCTATGTACTGCTTTTGCTGCTCATTGCATATCTTCTTAACCAGCTTGACAGGTAATATGTGCTGTACCCTGTACATGTATGTTAGAATGAATTTGTACATACCGTCATTAATATATAGCCAAATTACGAGTATGTGGTTCTGTCTACGGGTATAACATTCTGTTATAGCACATCAA